CCAGAAGCAATTATTTATGAATCAGCCTCATCACTGATTGCGAAATAATGGCAAATAAAAGCACGCAGAAAGGAGGCAGGATTCAACTCAACTGGGAGAACGCCCAATCGAGCGCTGGAAAAGCTTGGCGATTCACTAAGGGGCATCTGTCATGGCAATATTGGCAGAAAATCGAACAACGGCTTGTTTTGCCCCTTCTAGACCCCATAAAATGCTTTCGTGGAGCAAACTGCACCGTTTTCACGTCTGATTTCACCCGGTTTAATGTGCGTCCTCCGCGATTGCGCCGAGCAGCGCCTCTTCTCTTGATGGGACAAACCTCAGCGGCAGACCATACCCACTCGACTTCGAGTCATAAGTTAGAGACATACTCGCCACAAACGTATGGACGACGATTCATGGTTTGCGTGCCTTTATTGGAAGGATGGGCCATCAACGAGAGGCGCCAAATAAGCATGAGTCTCTACCCCTCCGTTTTTCGTGGGACATCTGTCTTCAGAACGACAGCGCCCTAGGCAGGGCTTCCTGTCGATCGCGACCAGAACTCGCTTTTCCATTATTTGTTCCCTAACTCCACTAAATTGCCGTGCGCTACACTCGTATTTGCGTAAGCAGCGTTCATAGTTGGCGATGTCGCGCGCCGACGCGCTAGCTTTGCAAAGGCGGTCTAATGCGTAAACGACAGCGGGTAACTTCGTCGATTGCTAGAGTTATGAAAGACTATGAGAGAATAGGAGTATACGCGATGCATAATCACACGGTCTGGTACCCTCCCTTTCGCCTAATGCTCTCCCAAAGCCCCAGTTACCGACGCCGATCAATACCAAACGGTGTGATAAGGCAACGCTCACCCTCCTATTATCCTTTACTCTCTCAAAACACTAGCGGCCACCGCCAATCAATACACGTCTATTGCACTGGAGCGCTGTTGCAATGGGGGGGGGGCGTCGTAGCGCGTCTACGCATGTCATCGCGAAGTCTGAAAACTACCTTCCCTCAAAGGCACACCCCGCACTCAATGCATGAAGTCAGGTTGACATGCCGCCATCCTTTTGCCTTGGAGGATGGCACCACTAATGAAGGTACAACGGTACTCTGTCTCCACCCACCCAACTATCGCGGAAAATGACAATGGAAAACGAAAAGTTCAAATAAGAAAAATGAAAACCAGCCACTTTCTATCTTTTCAAGAAATATTATTATGCCCACTAATTTCATAAAAGGCCTAGATCGATGCTTTGAAAAAAAAACGTTACCTATTCAGATGATCCACTTTCAGATTTTTCGGTTTCGCTGGAACAGCAGGCTTTTCCTTCTTGATTTCAATGTCATGTACCAGTATGTTCCTTTCCTCACTGGGCATTGGATGTACCTGGAACAATCACGAAAATCAGAAGAGAAAAATCCGAAAACCGGAAGAGGGGATGATTATTTGAACGAAGGAACGCGCAGATTTGTCACAACCGAAGCACTCAAGCGAGACACCGCCGTGGCCCAACAAATGGCCATTCACACATAATTGAATGCGTCACCGATCCTAGAAAACTGAATACTCATATCTGAGGAACGCGCTTTCCTGCCCTTTTATTTGCCCGACCGATAGCCTACAAGAAAGGCCACTTCACTGTGGTGAAACACCCCATATAACTCACATGTTTACCTTTCTTTTCTTTGACAAAAAAAAGTGCTTTGAGACACAACGGGGTGGGTATTGCAGGAATCTGAAGCATTTCAACACTGGGCACTGCCGTCTGCCGTTAAGGAGAAATTTTGCGGAATATGATCTCTCCCCGCCCCTCGAAATTACCTCTGGTACAACCCCCTTTTCTATTCTACCTAGCATCTTCCTAAATTTCCCCAACTTTTGATCGAGCTTAAATTCTCTTACGATCTTACTTGATCTTTACTTCTTCC